TGTTTGGTGCTGAGAGATTCCTCACTTTTTGAGTCTAAAGTTGGCAGCAATTTGGTGCTGCTGATCAGCTGCGTAGGTGGTTTAGTGGTAGCTTAAACCCTGTCCAAGACTGCTTAGAATAATATGAGTTGAGTTCTGGTAATTAGATGGTGCATTGTTCAAGGATTCTAGATCTTGTTGATCAAAGCAGTCTAATTGCAAACTAGATGATGAAGGGTGTGGAATACTCTTATTTTGATACTCTTAGACTTGTTGAGGTCTTACAGTCTAGCATTGTTTTACAGTCAAGCATTGTGTGTTTCAGTACTATTTCTAGGAAATAGTTTCAGGTTAGGTAAATGCAACTGGATTGGTTTTCTGTATCTGAAATTTGCCTGTGAGATAGTAGTAAAAATAATAGCAAAGGATCATCATGCCTCTGTTGGTCATGTTATGTTCTTCACTGGTTGTGTCGGTTTTTTATCTAACGGCTCTCCTTGAAAATGCCAAATGCCCCTCTAGTGTAGCTGTGATTATTAGTATGTTTGATCCCTAAAGACAGGAGAACTTTCCTTCTGCAGTGAACTATTTGTTAAACATATTTCATTTATGTTTGGGAAGCAAATTGGTAGCTGCTGGGTACCTTGCAATAAATAAATTCCAACTTATACTGATTGTTTGTTTGCATTGCTCGTTAGTGAGGAATTGTTTCTGTCATTGACTGTTGGTTTCACTCCATACTGTCATTTGATTGCTTTATATAAGATTGTATTCTTGCATTCGATGCATATTTATAACCAATGAAATTGCACCATGCAGGTTTTACAAACCCTCACTGATGCTGCGGTTCCATCCAAAGATCTGATTTCTTCCATAAAGATCTTATATTCTAAAACAAAGGTTGTTGCTTGCTTTAAGAAAGCACGAAGTTCTTACTGACTAGTTATGTTCATTAATCATTATCCTTGTGCTCCCAGGTTCTGCCTGTGTTCCCCAGTATTGTTAATCTTCCAATAGACAAGTTTCAAAGTGCCGTTTCCCGAATCTTGCAGGTTAGTCTTTGTCCTGTTATGACAATATGTGTTTGTTTGAGTCAATTTTTAGATGATTCTTTAATTGCAATTCATGTAATAGATCCTGATAAGGAAGGAATACCACTCAAAAAGGTCTGCTAGTTTCTAGTTTTGTTTTACAATTGAAGGAGAGCCTAATTTAATCAACTGAAGCATTCATATAACTTATTATAGGTTATGGATGCATGCTCTTCTTGCTTTGAGCAAAGAACAATATTTACCCAGCAAGTTCTGGCAAAAGCACTAAATCAACTGGTATTTATTTCTGGGCATATTTTTTTCCATAGTATATTCCTTATGATATATAGTTGATCAAAGTAAACTTTTATAGCCAGGGATAAGAAGGAAGATAGTAACTCATGATCTATTTCTTGCTTAACCAAAAGAGATATAATCCCATCCTTTTATAGATAGGGTGACTAGACTCATAGAAGAAACCAATCTCTAGAATCAAGGAACCAGCTCAATCTAATCTTATCTCTATGCTACATTTTTTTCAACCGGGAAACAATTGTTCAGGCTTTGGGAGATTTACAAGCCCAAGCCGAAGTTGCTCTATGCTTCTGCTGCGTTAAACATTAATTGTAAGTATCTTTATGCCCTCCTTTTCCTACACATTTTTTTTCTGGAAGCAGAACAGTGTACCGTTCTGAATTGTTGACAGGCATCTCTGAATCTGATGGAATATGGCTTCGGCGATTATAGAAGGGTGTCAGGCACGCATGCTGAGTTGCCGACCTGTTGATGAAAGTTCTGGCGGACATAATAGATTTGTGGATTGAATTTTGATAGATATTCTCATGCTGCCTTTTTTGTCAGGCTAGGATTAGTCTGTAGATGTCAGCATAGGGCATAGTGTGCATTTCCAAACTGGTCTATCGGTAGCAAGCCAGCATGTCAGCATATTGATAGCATCCGTTTTCAGATGAATATACGGATTAACGAGAAATGTAGGAACTGTTGTAACAACCATGTTATTGTGATATTAAATGAAGAATCCATAATACTATGAGCCTTACCATTTACAGTTGAAAAAATGTAGCATAGGGGTTTCTTTTATGATGGAGCTGTGCATGAAAAATATATGTTCCGGTCGAATTTGAATTATAAATTTGATTTTCTTTTTTTTACGGAAAAATATACTGCAGAGGCGGTTCTAGACTGAACCGCCCCTACAAATCGATTTGTAGAGGCGGCTGGTATTTTGAGCCGCCCCTACGAATCGATTTGTAAGGGCGGCTAGTGCGATTTGTAGAGGCGGCTGGTGTTTTCACCCGCCCTTACAAATTGATTTGTAGAGGCAGTCTGGTAACCGCCCATACAAATGCATGATTTATAAAGACGATATGGTAGGGGTGGCTGGCCGAACCGCCCCTACAAATGTCCATTAGCCGTCCCTAGAAACCATATTTGACGTAGTGAGTGTTTTGTTCATAATATTTCGATTTGTAACTATTCATAACTATTACACGTGTATGTTCTCAGAACCACGAGTTTTGTCTACTTTCCCCACTTTTCTCATGTGCCTATGTGGGATCAACCGAATTAACACCTACATAATTACAAACATAAATTACTTGAATAAAATCAACGAAGCAAGTTAACGATAATAATGAACAATAGTGCTAAACAACACCATACCAGTGGTCGTGGGATGGCACGATCGTAGTGGCGTTGGTTCCGCGCATTCAGGAGGATAGCTCCTTTGTATTTCCCATTGTTACACCAGGGTCATTAGTCTATGAGTACGAAAGAAATGAATATCGGAGATTTCTTCCGCCAATATAAAACATTATCTTAGCCGCGTCATGGAAAGGTCTATAAAGTATAGTTTGTGAGACTGCGACTCCGCGCACTCCGTGACAGTGTTAAATTCATAAACTTTACTTTTTGGATTAAATGTCATTTTAACGTTGTTATTTAATTTTTACAGTATTATTATCTTATCATACGATCCGTATATTTTTAGTATAAAATATTAACTATCCCGTGCCAACACACGGACCCCAACCCAGTATACCATTAAAAAAACCTCGAGTACATCCACAGGAACTCGATCTCTAGCCGCCGCTGGTCCACTCATGTCCTCCGAAACATGCGCAGCTCATCGCTGGAGATTCATTCAGTCATTAGCCACCGTGCTTTCTTAACTGCTTCGTTAATTCATTAATTAGAAGTACGAGTCTCTAAGCGTAACGAGTGCTTATGCACACATTATTTTAGCCGCATCACGGAAGGGTCTATAAAGTAGTTTGTGAGTCTGCGACGCCGCGTAACGTGATATTATTAAATTTATAAACTTTGTTTTTTGAATTAAATATTATTTTAACGTTGATATTTAATTTTTATAGTATTATTATCTTATTATGCGATCCGTGTATTTTTAGTATAAAATGAGAAAAAACCTCGAGTACATCCACAGGAACTCGATCTCTAGCCGCCGCTGGTCCACTCATGTCCTCCTAAACATGCGCAGCTCATCGTTGGAGATTCATTCAGTCATTAGCCACCGTGCTTTCTTAACTGCTTCGTTAATTCATTAATTAGAATTATAAGTCTCTAAGCGTAACGAGTGCTTATGTACACATTATCTTAGTCGCATCACGAAAAATCTATAAAGTAGAGTTTGTGAGCTTACGACGCCGCGCACTCCGTGATAGTGTTAAATTCATAAACTTTGCTTTTTTGATTAAATGTCACTTTAACGTTGATATTTAATTTTTACAGTATTATTATCTTATCGTGCGATCCGTGTATTTTTATTATAAAATATTAGCTATCCTGTAGCAACGCCACATACACGCTACCTAGTTTACCATTAAAAAAAGCTCGAGTACATCCACAGGAACTCGATCTTTAGCCGCCGCTGGTCCACTCATGTCCTCCGAAACATGCGCAGCTCATCGCTGGAGATTCAGTCAGTCATTAGCCACCGTGCTTTCTTAATTGCTTCGTTAATTCATTAATTAGAAGTACAAGTCTCTAAGCGTAACGAGTGCTTATGTACACGCTAGAACTTGTGTGTACGTGGCGTGACCTCCCCAGTATTATCTCACCACCCAAGGCGATGAACATGATGCACCGATTATTCACCAAGGCGACGGAGTCAAGATTGCCAAAAGCCATGGAATTTACTCTAGAATAGAAATTAGTGTAGTCAACTCTGTTCTTGAGTTGGCATGTGACCGGTGACCGGATGAGCTGCATTATTATCCTGAAACTGAAGGTTATCGTCATCCGCAGGCCACGGATAACTGGCGAAAATACTTTTCTTACGATTACAGTCGGTGAGCCGTGCAAGACTGACCAACACATGCATATACACAACCGAAGAAGTTATTACACTGCATATAGGCGTAGAGATACATAACCAGGCCAGTGAGAACTCAATTAGCCGTCGGTCCAACACCATCCTCCGCGAGGAGCGCAATCACAAGAAATTCCTGCAGCACTGACCGTAAAGTCTTGGTGCGTATTTCAGACGTCGTTGAAACCGTGTGTTCCATTTTGTTTTTTTTTTCCAGAAGAGGGAGATTTTGTGGTGGTGTACTAAAGCTAGCTAGACACCGCATGCACGCGAACACCTATATCCGCCAAAGGCATCTCGCTATTGGCTCAAAAAAAATAATGTCACAAAACCGAACTTTTCATTGGAGAAAAACGTTTGACTATCAAGGTAAACCATCCCGATAAGACCGTCGCGTATACGCGTGGGCGTGGCGTGGCGAAATCTGAGCCATGCAATCTCGAGAACGGTAACGTACTTTCGCGTCCTTCCTCGGCCCTCGTGCGCGCCTATATATAGCGCTGCGAACCCAGCAGCTTAAGCCATCCATCCATTCCAGCAGCAGCGCGATCGAAGAACTGAGAGCGCAACAAGCAACTACGTGCAGACGTGCTGTGGCCACGGCCCGCAGCTGGTATAGAGGTAGCAATATAATAGCTAGCATGGCGAGGTTTGCGGTCGTGGCGTGCGCTGCCGCGGCGGCGGCGCTGCTGCTGGGCGTGGCGGCGGCGGACGTGGCGTCGATCATCACGCAGGACGTGTACAACCAAATGCTGCCCAACCGCGACAACCCGCTCTGCCCCGCCAACGGCTTCTACACCTACGACGCCTTCATCCAGGCCGCCAGCTCCTTCCCGGGGTTCGGCACCAGCGGCAGCACTGACGAGCTCAACAGGCGCGAGCTCGCCGCCTTCTTCGGCCAGACCTCCCACGAGACCACAGGTGGCACTAGAGGTGCTGCCGACCAGTTCCAGTGGGGTTACTGCTTCAAGGAGGAGATCAGCAAGGCGACCAGTCCTCCCTACTATGGACGGGGACCAATTCAACTGACAGGGTAAGCGAATATATATTGGCAACTCGACCTCGTTCATGTGTCTGATTTGCGTTCTCTTGCTTGCATTAATCGGCAACTCATCGACCTCGTTGGTCGTTGCTTGCACGTACGCAGGCAGGTGAACTACCAGCAAGCCGGGGACGCGATAGGGCAGGACCTGGTGAGCAACCCGGACCTGGTCTCGTCGGACCCGGTGGTCTCCTTCAAGACGGCCATCTGGTTCTGGATGACGGCGCAGTCGCCCAAGCCGTCGTGCCACGACGTGATCCTGGGGAACTGGGCGCCGTCGGACGCCGACGCGGCGGCGGGGCGGGTGCCCGGCTACGGCGCCATCACCAACATCATCAACGGCGGGATCGAGTGCGGCGTGGGGCCCAACGACGCTAACGTCGACCGCATCGGGTACTACCAGCGCTACTGCGACATGTTCGGCGTCGGCTACGGCGACAACCTCGACTGCTACTCCCAGCAGCACTTCTGATCAACTGCTGTGTTGACGTAACTAGCTAGCTACGACTGTTTGTTGCAATATGACGATCTGTGTGTGACGTGACCTACGAATAAGTGGCCTATTTATAATACAATAAAGCCTGATGATCCTGTTATTAAATCTACATCGTCACCTCGACATCTCTGTTTCAGATAATCGAAAACAGGTCATCATGAACATGGAATTTTGGCAAGCGTAGACAACTGTCAAAATCTGTAGGCCTTATTTAAATGTAGTCGGATTCGCATTAATCCACATATATCGGGATGGATTAGAGTAGAATTTAAATTAATTTTCACCCGAATCCACCTCAACACATGTCCGATTAAGGTGAATTCGATAACATCAAGCAAAGGCCGTAAAAATTTTGGAGTCTTGTGCGGACGGGGCAGAGAATATATTATAATTTTAGCACACCATTAAAGAGGCAACAAAACGAATGCACCCAAAAGTCCTAAACAATGGTAGTCACAGGATGAAATGCACCTATCTGCAGTTTAAATTGAAATGACACAGTGGAATTTTAATATCTCCAACCTCTACCACGGCACGGCCTAGCTCCTTTTACACTACCGCTCAAATTGAAAAAGAAAAAGTCTACATTACCTCTTTCAACTTTTGTGAAAATCTATTTTTTCTCCCTGAACTCTAAAACCGGTCGGGTAAACCACCTCCCTGAACTTTTAAAACCGTTCGTTTTACCTCCCTAACCGGTTATAAGTGGTTTTCAAAGACGGTTTTGTCTTTTTCTTTTTTATTTATTTCGGCTGAATATTTAAAAAATCATAGTAAATCATAGAAAAATCATAAAATAGAAAATCTAATTTATTGGACTTCACATGAGTAGATCTACACAGTGAATATATAATAAGGTATGCTTTAGTATATTTTTTTTGTTGTAGCTTCAGATTTATGTTTTTCTATAATTAACTCATAGCTGCAGTTTCTATGGTCCAATTATGGTGAAATTTTTTTTGTGGGCTAATTATTGTATGCTTGAACTGTAGTAAAAATTTCATATTCATTTGATCATGTATAACTTAATTATAGATTTATAAATACTTTTTAGCAAGCATACACCTAAATAAATCTATAACTAAGTTCTACATGATCCAATAAGTATGAAATTTTTACCACAGTTCAAACATACAATAATTAGCCAACCATAAAAATTTCACCACAATTGGACTATAGAAACTGCAGCTTATGAATTAAATATAGAAAAACTTAGATCTAAAGCTACAACAAAAAAAATTTTATTGAAGCATACTATATTATATGTTCACTATTTAGATCTACTCATGTGGAGTCCAACAAAATTAGATTTTTCATTTTATGATTTTTCTGTGATTTACTATGATTTTTCAAAAATTCAGCCAAAATAAAAAAAAAAGACAAACCGCCTTTGAAATAAACATGGCAACGGGCCCCGATTCTATGTGGGGAATTCCCCTATTAGGGGATGGGGATGGGGCCAAATTGATCCCACAAGGATCTAAACGGGGAAAAATTGTCCCCGTCGGGTCTGGCGGGGACGGGGATGGGGGATCAATCCCCGTACCCGATATCCGCTTCCCTACCCCGTTTAGGGGCCCAACCAGCCCATGAAGGCCCAATATCATCCAAGTATATAATACCGATAACCCTAACTTCTCCACCCTCGAGTTCCCTGTCCCAGGCTCCCAACCACCCCTCCCGCCGCCGCCAGGCTTCCAGGTGCCCGTCACCACTCACCACTGCTGCACGACGGCTCCAGCAAGCCCGCAAGTTGTCCATCTGTGCACCTCTGGCGACAGCGCATCCGCACGATCCTCCAGTAGCGGCGACGCATCCACGCGCAGACACTATGGGTAGCTGCGCCCTGCAGCCGCATGTGCTCCACAAGAGCAGCAGCTCATGTCCATGTGCTCCCCACGGGCAGCAGTGCGTGTGTCGGGTTCATAAACCCGGGGTCCCTCGCGGGCTGGTTTCCCAACGAAGGCTCAGCCAAGCAGACAGCGCGTGACTCATGGGCCGGCCCAAGTATCTGAACGACAGGCCAGAAGGGCGGTCCAGTCACCGACCAGAAGGTCTGGCCGAGGAGGAGCGGCACCCGTTTTTCCTACTCCAGCCCACCTCTCCGACCGGAGCGCTCATTCCGACTCCAGCCGCCTCCGGACGGCCTCTCCGACTAGAAGGCCTGACCGAAACGCTACTTCCGACTCTGACCCCACGTCTCCGATCGAGGTACGCAAAAACCTTGCTCACTTCTTTTCTCCGACTGGCGCAATCAGAGCTGGCTAGGACCAATTGATCGGGGACGCCCGCTTGGAAAGGACCAGGGAACGAACGGAGAAAGCGAGGCAAGGCGCACAAGTCAAACCACGATACCAGGGATTGTACCCTGTACACCTGCAGGAACAGTACTCTGCAACCGCCCTGACACAAACAGTGTTGTAGGCGCTGACATTTTCCCTACAGTATTGTGGGCGCCATTAACTCCCATACAGTAAGGCCCTCCACATGCCTCTAGGCATCAACAGTGTTATGGGCGCCGGCATTTACCGTACCGAGTGAACATGGTGAAACTCCTCACATACCTCTGGGCACCAACAGTATATACAGGTACCGACATCTGCCATACCCAAACAAAGACGACGTGACCTCCCATGTGCATCTGACAACCAACAGTATTGTTGGCGCCTACCATCATCCTGTATCCGCCGACATGGGCAGCAAGGCTTAGCAGCATACGTACTCCCTCCCTCTCACTTGTATGGACGTTTCCTTCATCTATAAAAGGGGATGCACTCTCTCCCAATAGATTCAGTTGATTCAAGTTCATACAAGTCATTCCAGATTCATTAGATCGACCAAGTTCATTAGTTCACAACCACAGAACCACCAGGTTCGAACCTCAAGCACACGCTTGAACACTTAGCTCATAGCGGAGCTCCTATCGCTCTCGGCCCTTCCGACCGAGAGTCCGACCGGACATCTCGTACACCCCATCTTTCTCCTTCTCGTTTGTAACCCCACTGCAAACTTCGAGCACCTGGGCTTCGGAATAAAGTCACCGACCGACTCAAACTAGACGTAAGGCACGTTGCCTGAACCAGTATAAACCCTGTGTCATTGAGTGCTAGGCCACCTTCGATCACAACGTACGGCAAAACTACAAATATTTACTTGTTGGTCACTTTCTGCACCGACAGCGTGCTTCCCCATTCCCCAAGGATAGTAGTGGCTTCTTGAAGTAGGTAGGTACTGGAGCTTCAGATCAAGACTTATCACCACCGCCATGGTCCATGGATTTGTCCTCCACATCCCTACTCCCTACTCAAGATCTTGCTATTTGGCTATTTCTATTTTCTTGATTGCTATTTCTGGATTGTAATTCGTGTTGAAATCTAATTTCATATCAATGGCTTATGTGAATGGTGATGATGATAAACTAATGCGGGGCGGGGATCCCGACGGGGATTTTCCCCCATGCGGGGATGGGGATGGGTAATAAAGCTTCCTCGATAGCTTTGGCGGGGACGGGGAATTTATCTCCCCGCAGGGACGGCGATGGGGAGGCATTCCCCGACGGGGAATTCTCCGTTGCCATATTTACTTTGAAAACCGCTTATAACCCGTCAGGGAGGTAAAACGAATGGTTTTAAAAGTTCAGAGAGATGGTTTACCCGGTTTTAGAGTCAGGGAGGAAAAGTGGACTTTCACAAAAGTTGAGAAAGGTAATGTGGATTTTTTCCAATTGAAAACATCTTTCCTTGTATATATGCACGTTACCTCTAGTCCTGGGCCGGACTTCTACAAAGCTACTTGGGCCACCACCTCTCCTGCTATTTGTTTTCAATCTTCCTTTTCCCATAATGTTGATCTGGAATGGATTAATCGATCCTATGTTTACCGATGAAATGAAAGCCACTGCTCTTGTTTTAGAGGTTTAATCACATTTCGAGAAAAACTAAAATGGAAACATAAATCATGAATATGAAAATGATATTGACAATTTTAGCCATTTATCATTTGGTCAAACTACCGACTATCAAAATCATTCAAAGCCAAAAATGAAATGAAAAATTTGAATAAAATTGGAAGTAAGAACAAAGGAGAAAAGAAGTAGCGGTGATCTCGTTCTCTATCGGCCAGTGCCGGTCCTAGGATCTTAAGGGCCCTCTGACGATCTCATCGTAACGGCCTCTCTTGACCATATATAAAATCTTATAATATATATGTACTAATTTTACTTGCAAAACAAAAGCAAATTCAATAACATATTTTTAATTTAACATGTCTGAGGAACAATGTAGATTAAGCAATATATTTATAGATGTATGATAATTATCGAGGAACAATGTAGATTAAAAAAGCAATATATTCGTTTTCTTTTCTCACCATGACAAATGTTTCTTAGGTAACATTCTAAAATTCTAACACCTAAATTATAAGAAAAATATGACTTTGGGTAAAAAGTATTAGAAGTCTGGAATACTATACAAATAATTAATTTGGATTAAAAAAAAAAAAAAAAATACCTTGGGCCTAAACAACTGATCGGTGATCGCAATTCGTAAGAAGCCAAGAATCAAGATGTCATCGTCGTGGAGCCCTGCCTGGTCGCCGTCCTCGTGCGCCGTGTCCGTGTCTCTGGTAATCTAGCTCTTTGCGGCGGTGCGGCTCGCCAGATCCGCGTGTGTAAGGCGCACGTTGCGAACTCACTATCAGAGTGTGCTGTGTGCAGCGTGACTCCTCGCCTCCTCTCTACTCGAGGGCCGTGGAAAAAGAAAACTAGGAAAGAAATGCCGATGTTATTTTTTGGGCCGCCTGGCCAGTTCTATGTCTCTCTTCTCATTAGTTTGCTAATGCCTAATAGACTATAGGACCTGAGGGTTTGTATACCTGGGCTCTACCCCTAGGGCCGTCTTACCTCGTGCCCTACCCCTAGGGCCGGCACCGCTATCGGCAAGCTCCACTATCTCTGGCTACCTCGTATCAGGGTTACA